CCAATTTTTTCCGCATATTCGTCTGCACAGATTGAAGGCTACTGTACTTTTTTGAACAATTTTTTGTAGGTGTTGATTCCATGTTAACTTATGGTCAAAGATGACTCCTAAGTATTTTGCCTCTAGGGCGAACGGAATTTCTACCCCGTTGAGTACTGGTGACTTCAATCCTTCCAGTACTGTGTTTTTCGTGAAATTCACTATAGTGGTTTTATGAGGGTTCACGGTGAGTTCCTCCTCTTATCAAGAGCCTTACAAGTAGTCATTATCATGATGAAGTGTGTACAAAGGCTCAGCTCCGTAGCTCGAACGGTTCCTGAGATGAGAGCAAAAAACTGATTTTTGAATTTTTTTGACGCCCTGTATTTTGAAAACGGAAGCCCGGAAAAATATTTCGTAAAGGAAAAAAATATTCTTTCTTTATGAGGAATCTACAGTTTTCCGTTGGGACACTTATTTGTAGGGCAAGATCCACAACCCAGGTAACAAGCTGACGTCATTTGTACGTCATTATCACGTCAGGCCTGACGTCATGATGACTTCCGAAATGACGTCATAATGACGTTTATATTACCTTCTAAGTCAAAGACGAATGACGTCATTTTCATGTCGTCAAAATGACGTCATCCTAATGACGTCAGAATGACGACATCCTAATGGCGTCAAAATGACGTGATCTTTACGATTATTTATATCACTGAAATCTTCTGCATGTTTCAGTTTATTTTGTGCTATTTGGAAATTTTCTGTAGGTAAAAAAAAACACTGTTGCATTAGGGTTTTGTATCAATATTATCAGAAAAGATGAGATTTTTTTTTGTATAATTATATTGATGTTCCTCTACCACATTAAATGCAAAATAATATTATAGGTAGGTACTATAAATACCAGTTTCATAAAATGTTCTTTTTATTGGGAACTTATCCCATTCGGATGATGCACTCAAGAGATTTCTCAGAACCCTTCAATGGCGTCCAATTCACATTCTGCTTTCTCGGCATGCACCACTTGTCTAAAATAATGACCATGCTGCCATCCTCAAATTCTACTACTTGATATATGAATATGAATAAGTATGACCACCACACCACACCACATAGATAGTCGAATAACATGATAATGATGGCCTTCTATGTATTGTTATTTTGTTGTTATGGTCATCATAGCCGCAACGGCGAAGCGAAAGTGAACGGCTTGGCCACAGCCGTCACTAGCGTCTGCGGACAGGCGCAAGTAATAACTCCGTGGTAGGGGAACGTTAGTTAACTTGTGTCGAGTCTAATATAAGGAAGGAATTTTTTTTTAACAATCAATCGACCTAGATGAACCTTTTTTCTTGAAGAAGGACAATTTTTCTTGAGGAAGGAAAATATTGTTTCTGCATAAAAAATGAGAAAACCTAACCTATCTATTTTATGAGTATATCTGTACTTGTTTCGTTGACCTGTGTAAAACTTGATGTTTATTAACACCAAATAAAATATTCTAGAAGGAGAATTTTTCTTGAGGAAGGAAAATATTGTTCCCTCATAAAAAATGGGAAAACCTAACCTATCTATTTTATGAGTATATCTGTACTTGTTTCGTTGACCTGTGTAAAACTTAATGTTTATATTAACACCAAATAAAATATTCTATTCTATTCTAACCTAACCTAACCGAACCTCACCTCTGGCCTAAACATAGAAAACCCCTAAATGAACCTATTTCCTATAGAGAATATTTTTTAGAAATCACTTGAGAACAAGAAAAAAAAAAAAAGATGAGCCTCGCACGGCTTGGCATGCCGATGCTCTGCTTACTGAGCCAACCAGTTGCTTACGATACAAAGTATGATCATAGATTAACGACTCCCCTAATCTATGGTATGATGAAGTCATTCAGTCGGCGCCGCATAACGCCAGTCGCATCTACTGCCCACTATTAACGGTCTCCCACCACGGAGTTATTACTTGCGGCTGTCCGCAGACGCTAGTCAGCCGTCTTCTGAATACGGCTGTGAATGATCGGCTGTGGGTTGGCACTGGCGGTCGACGTTCGCATGTCTGCGCAAGGTCCGTGCCGACCAATCAAATACAGTTCTCTACGCACTCTCCCGCTCTGATTTGAATTCGCATTCCGGAATAACAACGTTATAAGCTTTTTATGACGTGACATTCGGTCTTATATTTTTAATAGCTATAGGGAGAATACTTTGCACAGAAGGTATATAATTAACAATTATCTCAGAGACCATCGAAAACACACATCTTGCACAGATTAGAGGAAAAATTATTATGAAGCATAATATATGATGAGTGACATAATAATATATGTTATATAACATAACTATACTAACGTTTTCATATAACAGAGATGGGAAACTTCTTGATTATGGATTTTCCTTGATGTAGATGACTCAATAAATGATGGTCATAATTAGTCATGAAAATGACCATCAGATGACGTCATAATGACGACATATCAAGGACGTCTATATAACGTCATATTAGGTACGTCAAAATGACGTCATTTTGAGGTCATATGACGTCAATGACCATAAATGACCATATATTGACGTACAAATGACGTCAGCTTGTTACCTGGGAATGGGTTTGTTTACCCCTGATTTTTCGAATTCAGAAGTTTTGTCTTCATTATTTTCCATAACCCCCGTGTTATTTGTTCTTTCTACAAGCGTGCGTGATTCACCCTATACCCGCACGCAATGCAGTTTGGGAAGTGTCATTTTCCCGCAACAGTGCGGGAAAACAAAGATATGATAAAATCACTAATAATATAAGTGGTTGGTGATGGAATGTTCAGAATCATCCATCAAATTGCACTATTTATTGTGAAAATCAAGAAATATTGAGAAATAAAAATTTACTATCATGAAAATCCCCCTGTAGGTTTGGGAAACGATTATTGTTGTCATGCCAATAAAACCTCAAATAAGTTTGAAATTGTCGAAGTGACAGACACAGCGTTACTGTCATTTTCGAAGATCATCAGAAACTTCTAGCTATAGGGATTCGATACAGATGCGTTATTACCAACGAAGTCTCAAGAAAGGTATGAGAAGCTATACACGCGTTTTATTGAATGGTGCAACAATAATGAAATGAAAATACCGAATGAAGAATAGGTATTTTTGGCTCATTTCATAGAAGTGTCTGAAACCTAGAGACCAAACTCCTTAAGGGCCTGCTGGCTTCCGCAATGAACCAACATAATGCGTCAAACTGATATAAGTTCACAATAGCTATTACTAATAATTAGTAGATAGAGAATATATTTCTCTTGTTAGTTGTTCCTATTTGCATGAATAATTAATTGAACGAATCAATCAATTTCCTACACTTGTAGAAAACATATTGTTCCTAACTCATTCTGAAAGTGTCTTTCCCGCACTAAACTGCTTGCCCGAACTCCGTTTCGCGTCGTTTGTGACAACGGCAGTCGCGTGCGGGAAAAAATCACTTTCCGCACTTTTAGGAAAATTACTATTATATGCTACTTTTGAGTCATGTTCATGTAGAAATGAAGCTAATTTTTCAGTTGATGATCCAAAATAGGTTGAAGTTCAATAATTTTGATTGGGCTCCGTGGCCGAGTTTGTCTATGCGCTGAAATTCGCTAGATAGCCGTTCACGATGCAGAGGTACTGTCGGTTCGAATCCGGCCATCGGCTGAGCATTTTTCTTCAAAATGTGTGATTCGTGGTTGTAATCCTGGCAGCACCTCGATGCCCTAGAAGTGGTTCGGATTCCACTATAAGCTGTAGGTCCCGCTCTTCCTAACCCCGCACACAAGTTTCGACTTCTGGGGAGTTGGTTCCCAACTTTGAAGTAGCGATATACAAAAATCATTTTTGATGATCGGATTAACTTCTTGAATAGCTTTATTATGGAGTTGTTCAGGAGGAATGCTGTCTATGAATTTGACGTTGTATCTGTTGTTGAATGTAATGTGTTTTATGATATTGAGTTCTGTATTCAAATTCACTTCTGAAAGAGGGTCATTCACTAGCCTGTGTATCATACTATATATATGCTGCAATTTTATGTTGATGAGGGTGTGTTGAATCATTATGAATAGTGATATCAGTGTGGAAAGGTTTAAAGGAAAATTGAAAAATCATGTTTATCATCAATTTCAATTATTGTCAAATCTGAGATCATTTCTTATTTTTTTCATCAACTCAATTTGGTAAATTTGCTGAGTTGATCACCTAACTACCTGGCCTACCCTGCCAGATGTAAATTTATCTGGCGCCCACTCAATAGGGGAGTCTTATTTAACAATTTTTTACTCGAATCGAACCTCCCCCTCCCCCCATCTCCACTGAAGCAACTGAAAAACTACCCTGTCTTTCATATGACAGCCGGTGCGCTCCAAAAGATTAGAAAAAAATACAATTCAAAGTTACAATAATCGTTACTTCAAATTGGCAATCGTCAGTTCAAAGTGACAATTGTCAGTTTGAAGTGACAATTGTCACTTTAAAGTGACAATTGTCAGTTCATAAAGTGGCAATCGTTAAGTTGAAAGTGGCAATTGACAATTCATTGTTACAATGGTCAGTTCATAGTGACAATCATTGTCAGTTCAAAATGACGATTGTCAGTCCAAAGTGACAATTGTCAGTTCATAGTGGCGGTTGTCAGTTCAAACTGACGATAGTCAGTTCAAAGCAGTAACAATTGCCTCTAGAAAATAGCAATTCCGCCGAATATTTTGAAAGAGAATAAACAATTTTTCGTTGTCTTCGTATTTGACGGTACTATATTTTTCCAACTTTACGAAAATCCAATTAAATTTTTATTTCAATTACAATTCAATTTGGAATTGCACAAAATAGCACTTTCCTCCTGATGACAATAATTACCCTGTATAACATATTATAGTGACTGACGATTTATTTTCTACGTGGAGCAGAATTCTCCCCATTATCCAATTTACCCAATTAAAACTAGTGGAGTGCCTCTCGATAGTTTTGTTTCTGCGGCTGTGGGAACGGCAACCGTCGACTCTCAGTAACAAGGTATCCCTGTCGAGGTACGCATCAAAGCCCTTCGGCATTTGGTACCAGAACGACATTGCGAAAATAGATATCCATCCACCTGTTCACCTGACGTCGATACAACTCGCCGAGATCGACCTCCCCGACAACTCAATGGAGCTGAAAAAATACATAATAATTAAGCTCTCGAGTGGGGCGTATACGTAACAGAATCGGAACTATAACATAACGTGGAGATAGCCGCGAGTGGCTAATACCATAAACGCAGCTTCTACGTCAACTTAAGATCGGAAGAAAGTCGGGTGAACAATCGAATATTTTCGTACGTGTGAGCATTTCCGGTGTTACTGTTGTGTCGAACCGACAAAGGATCGTGCTTTTGTGATAACAAGTGGCTGCAAACGAGAGTTCCGACTGCTATTCGACAGGCCATTCTCAAGAGGAGAGTTGATGCAAGTAAGGCTTTCGTTTCGTTATTGTATAGAAGTAGTACGGCGAAATCAAAAGTTGTTGGCAGATTTTATTCGCTATTCACCTTTCTGATATATTGTTCTTGGTCTCTCAAACATACGTTGTTCCTCAACCGTTTCCATACCCAGAGCTTATATAGTAACTCGAAAGTTGTATCATTTTTTTCATTCTTATAAAATCCATATTTGTGATATTTCTACCTATTCCTCATTTTTTATCTTTGCTCGATTTGAACTGAAACATTTGTACAAAAAAATGAGATCATATTCTGGAAACATGAAATAATCATACAAAATGACTTTTCATGTGACATTATTTACAATTTTACAATTTTACAATTAACAATTATACATAAGTATGAGTCTCTCGAAAATGCTGAATGTGGAATGATATCAAAATCCGAGTCAAAATCATATAGGGAAAGAAGATGATATAAGAACCAATAACTGAAAATTAACATCAATAGCCGCAAAAGCTCTGCTTACAATCGCATTTTTTTAAACAAGAATAATAACCAAAATGAACATATGGCTTCCGGTTAAGGTGATATAAATATTTAGAAATTGACTTTTAAGATCTCAGTATGAAGATGGTACATTCAGGATCAATTAAAAAAAACACCCTGTACTATTACTCATGAATTATCGAGTGAATTTTATACATTTTCCTATCAACTTCTGTCACTAAAGAAGTTGAGGAACGCACGATGTTCTTTGAACATTATAGGGATTCCCTTTCGTGCGCTCCAAGCGATAAAAAAAAGGATTATAGAAACAGCGAGAGAAACAGCTAGCTCAACGGCTATAATTGGGAACTCCTTTGACGCATAGCAAGAAGAAGACACACATAATAAATCACATATGGGTCGCAGTGTTCCCATCACCCCGAGCATCACCCCTATCATTAGACATACCTACATACATACAACTATTAAGAACAAATTTCCATTTTTACGTAGAAAACAGGAGCAGACCTATTTCCGAAACGTCCTCGAAAACGTGAAAAGCTGAGTGAAAATATGATATGTTTTCGATATATCCGAGGATATATCTATATTCCTCTTCCTAAAAAATTCTTCGAAACAAGGTGTTACTGACAACGCATTTTTGTGCGAATCATCTGGTTTGTCGTTACTACACATACAGTATCGAGTATACAGTGCTTTCGTAAAGTACCTACTATGAATACATTCATATCCTCAGCCATTTTCAGTTATGACGTATGCGGCAATTTTTGAAATTTCCATACCACGCTGAACTCTCGGCTGAACTCAAAAGTATGTTGAATACAGTGTTTGTATACAGTACGAGTGTACTGAATTTAAGGACGCACTGTATACAAACCCTACGTGTGATATGATTTTGAATCTAAAAATTGAATAAAATATAGGGTGTTCCATTTGAAAAAACTGTCGTGGTCGTCCTAACGCAAACATAGATCACCCTGTATATTCAATCCTCCATTATGAGCTCGATTATGAGGGTGGCAAATTGAGAATGAAAATCGAACTGTCTCAGGATATTCCTCCGGAATGGAGAGTTCGACTGCAAATGAATTCATTCAATACTTCACGAAAGCACTGTTTATTGAAATATTGCTCGAATATTACCCATATTTTTGTTTGTAGGAACTGGGATAGAAACAATGAAATGAAAATCCCAAAAATCTGGAGATATGAATATTCACCTCCCCGATTGACCTGCAGACAGTATCCTTCGGACTATTCTTGAATTACCTATTGAACTCAGTTCTTCAACATACCTACATGTGGGTTAGCGAGTGGGTTAGTTATCAACACCTCCTAAATCTCTAGAGGTGCCTCGTGATTTCCCAAAATTACCAAAAATTTCTCGAAATTACTAGAAACTCCCCGAAATCACACGAAGTGTTTCAATTGCCCCACAAAGTGTACAAAAAATCTCTTCGTAAAAGTTTTCCAAAAGACCCCGAAATTCCCAAAAACTTCTAGAAATTGCTTTAAATTGCCCGAAATTGCTCTAAATTCCTCGTAATGCCCCCAAATGAGTCAGTGGGGTTAGAACCTGAGCTCGAACCCATGCCTAGGTGGAAGTCCGCTCTCGACCACCGGACCACCTAAATGTTCAAATAATGTCTCACAGTTGTTAACAGACTGTTCCTCTTGAACCAAACCAAAGACCATATTTTGCAGCTATTGAGTAGATAAGAACATACTCACCTTGCAGATTACCCTTACTCATACCTTCTCAGGTTGTTATGATAATATCTTATGATAAATAAATGCAAGAAATGTAAATGAAAAATAATCACTAACTATTTTTGAATGATGAATCGCTCATAGATACTAGATCTACCGAGAGATCTACTTAAATGAGAAGAAGGTGAATCGAGAGATTGATGATTTTTGACAAGATACGCAAAGTCGAGTCAAGTCTTTCGAAAATGAGATCATCAACTACCTGGGTTTTTTTCAGTAAACTTAAGTGATAGCTGCCGACATGGCTGCTATATGGTTTCAAAATTCCAGCTCATTCGAATTCTTATCCAATTGTGAGATGATGACATGCGAAATTACGATCTTGGCCTCTCTGAGAGATATATTGCCCTCTTCGTTTGATCTTCTCGTTTTTTCCACACATTGTTAATAAGGTGATTATCAGTCGATTATCAGTCCAGTCGAGCAAATGTAACAAACTTATTTTTTGTCAAGTAATACCTCGAATTATACGTAGGAGAGAAACAGGCATGGAGACATATAGTTAATATTTGAAACATCCTCACATCTTGAAGTATGTTATAAAAAAATGCTCTTCATGCTCAATCGACTTGAACTTCACTACAATGCTTATTTAAAGAACGCCTCAGCGTGTTCAAATCAAACTTAAAAAAACGGGCGTATTTTTGATGAAGTTATCACGTCAACACACGGCAACATCAAAGACCCGAGAAACGTGAAGTCTACAAATGTCAACATTTCATTTATCGATCTGGCAGGAGTACCATGAAATGTTAAATGAAATATAATTTACAAATGTCCAACCATTTTACATCATTAGTTGTTATTTCCATATTTATGATCTCAAAGCACGTGTTCGAAAGATCGTGATATCTACTTGATCTTTTATATACTATTTCATGAATCCATGCGATATTTTACTTTGCCCACCCCGTTGCGGGTAACGTGAAATCTTAGTTTGAGCAAAGTGAAATACTATAGCAAAAATGGACCGAATGGAATTCCATTGATAATTTTCATCAATTCTTCAAGAGAGAATCGAATTATGATTACCAACACAATAACCAATTTCCCAGATGAGAAATTACTCGGAAATAACCTATGAGTTAACGTACTTTGACAGTTCAGGAACAGCAAAGAATCCTCTACGCATCTGCTTCGGTGGTTCTTTGATAATCATGTATAGATCAACGTAACCATAGGACATCTCATTCTGTTCTGCAGGTCAACGGAAACATTTTTGAATTCTGTCCATACATTTGACAATCACTCTGTCGTTGGATTTCTCCACAAAAAATCCTGAAATATTATTCTATATTGCCCTCTACAGCATATTTCACTCTGCCAGCCGTGATGCGATAACAACAAAAAGGGAATATATTTTAATACATATTCCTATAAAGGCTTGATTGTCGGCCATTATGAAAAATGAGATAGGTAAGTATAAATTGTGTTAATCAGTGCCTAGCAGCTATAACCATTCTTGTGAAAGTTTGCTATAAGAAACTGGTGCTTCAAGAATACTGAAGAATTGCATCATAAATATACCGCTGAAATAATGACAACCAGGGGTTCATCATAAGTATATCCCTACTACAAAAAATACCTTATAATGACGGGAAATGACACGTTTGATACTACTGTTGCATCAGCTGAATCTCAACTTGATCGATTTACGTAGATATGATAAAAACATTTGCGAAGTATTTTAAGTAGTAGCAGACGTAATTTAACAAGAAGCAGCTACAATTTATTTTTAATTGATTCGATACCATCAACAAAAGTTTTATGAAACATCGTGCCTAATCAAGGTGTTGTCCAACTCCTGCGAGCTTGAAATAATAGGTATATCGCTAAATAATAAACGAGATCGAGACTGAATTATTGGCTATTCAATTGTATTAAAGGAATTATCAATCGAGGTTTATGAAATTAACTGTGAACGATGAAATGATCGGAATTATCTGAATTTGAATTGCATTCTTGAGAAAATACATGTCAAACATGAAAAGGACAAAGTGACATAGACTAAAAATGATGTAGTCACGAGTAAAACATGAAATTTGTCTACAATTGTTCAATATGAAAGGAAATGCGAGTGAAAAACCTTGTGTTGAGAAGGTTGATAATGAATAAAACCATTTCTTGACTTTCTGGTACATAACCTTGAGTAAATGACCCTTCAAAATGATCAGCATAAAGCAGTAACGCCATAAGAAGTTAAAATATCCCAACTCCGTCGCGTCAAATATTTTTAATTTCAGCATTAACCGAGGCATTAACAATCAGATTGGACAACTCGTCCTGATTGTTGAACATGCATTATTATCAAAATGCCATACCACTCTTGAAACATTGATGGTTTTGCATAAATTTACTCCTGGTCGTTTTATTTCTTGGTTTGGTTACCAGAATTGGCTAGGCCGCCACGCTCTTGCGATTTAACACTTTTGGATTTTTGGCTATGCATGAGATTATCTAAAGTTATGGGTTTATACCAACAAGCCTGCGACCAACGATGCATTTAAGGCAGAAGTTAGTAGCTTTGTCAATGAGATACCGCTACATGTATGCAATAATATTATTGTTAATCCTACCAGAAGATGACGTATGTGCCAACAAAGCCATGGCGGCCATTTACCGATTATTTTTGTCTCAAACATACTTTCCACAAGAATAAATCATAAATCAATGAATTTTTGAATTCTTTGCTACAAAAATATATTTCACTGAACAAAAAAAAAACAAAAGTTATGTTAAGGCGTTTCAG